ACACTTTCCATCTCTGGTCTCCCCATCCTAAGTTGCTTCATTTTACAGACACCTGTCTATCAGGTTGGGGAATAATTCTACATTCCCTGGGAATCATGAGTCTGTGGTCAAACTGGCTCTATACATCAATGTTTAGCAGCTTCTTGACCTTGGATCACTTCTGACATTTTGTACGAGACAAATGGGTCATGATCCATTTCGACTGCTATGTCTTTTATCAATCAGTAATAGGGCACCCATACATGTTTGCTTTGTCTTTGAATGTTCAAACTCCTATTGTGGGCCTATTCGCATCTTGCACATCTAGTAGGGTGTCATGGTCTGTGTGTTCCGAATCTTATTGCAGCTTCATTGTTTTTCCCTGACAAGATTTTCCCTATGATTGGTCCCTTGTTCCTCAGATATTTCCATGGTCATGTGCTCATTGGGTTACTCCACTTTTGGATGCATTAGCCACCCACCTCAATTCCAAGCCAACTCTTTTTGAGTCTATGATTCCACACCCTTTGGCATAGACAGTAGATGCATTCAGTCAGGATTGGTTCATCCTCTATTTTTATGCCTGTCCTACTTTCCTTCTCCTTCCTCTAAGTTTTACTTGTTCTCCATACTTTTCCATGTCTAGTCCTTCTAATTATACCTTTCTGGCCTGCTCAACCTTTGTTTCCTGTCCATATACCATTTCAGTTTTCTCCTCTATTACAACTTTCTTTTTCTTGCTCTCTGTTTTGACAACCTCGGTTGTTTGTGTCATCCCATCATTACCACACTCTAACTTCATGCATGGCATTTATCTGGACTCTTCACATGTGTAGCATCTCTACTTTCCCATTCAGTCCATCCTCATCCTTTCTGGTGTATCAGAGTAAATGGTGCATTTTTCAACATTAGCGTCTACACCATGGTTACCTCCCTTCCTGTACGTGTGTGACTTGTGTCTTTGATAATTTTACTTGTCTGTTTCACAATGGTTCTTCTGTGGCTACCATTGCTGGTTATCATGCAGCCTTATCTAATACCTTCCATTTTTCTCTTTACCGTAGAGTGTTTTCCTCTTGTGTCCTTTCCATCTTATTTCATTCCTTTCATCTCCTTTGTCGTACATCCGTTCCTGTTTGGGACACTCAAGTAGTTCTCCAGGCCATTACCCAACCTCCTTTTCAACCCTTTGTTACCTGTTTAGTATACCACTTGTCCTGGACATCCTGTTTTTTTTGCTCCTTTTTTCCTTGTGGACTTCATAGGTTGGATGTTTTTTTCACCCTTGACATTTCACGTATCCTGCACCACCATACCTCTGTTTCTTCTGTATCTGGATCGCAGTTTTTTTCCAGGGATGTTGGCGACTCTGAAATATGAAGTCACATCCACAAGTTTTCCCTTCCTTCCTTCTATTTTCCATTTCTGTTCCCACTTCGATCTGGGTTGTCTTCTCTGTCCTGTTCTTGATTTCCAATGCCTTATTTCCTGCAAGACTGTGTGAAGTAACATATATGTAGAAATATTAAATTAGCAGTTTTTTGAGAAATTTGTTTTTGTTCATAAAAATGTATAATAAATATGAGAGTTTGCCATTTCACCCTCTAAATATTTCATAACAAGTAATACAGTTTTAATATTATTCAAATTTAGTAATGATGTTCAATGAAATATTATTTTGTTTGAGGTATCTTAGATAATGTTGTGTAATTAATATATTTTGGTATTTACTTTATGGAAAATATAATTTGATTTAAAGTACAGCAGGAATTAATAAAAAATTTTACTGAGTTAAAGTTTTTCATTTTTTCCAGTTGTATGCTTCAGTAAAAGAGAAAATGGAAGAAATGCAACAACATAATATGTCATGGATTGAAGTACAGTTTTTAAAAAAGGCTGTAGATGTCTTGTGTCAGTGTCGTCAGACTCTAATGTACACATATGTCTTTGCCTATTACCTGAGGAAAAATAACCAATCTGTTATATTTGAGGTAATTCCTTTTGCATTTAAATTTATTATATATTGTAAAACCATGTATTTTAGCAGTTTAAGACTGTGCAGTTTTTAATCAGTTTTAACTTTCTACAAAACATTTTTAATTTTCGCATACACTGGTTTTTATCCTAATGTTTTTTGTCATACATCTTTTAGCAGTGTCACAAATTATTGAAGTATTTTTAAGATATATATATTTTAAACAATTCAATTCTGATTTAGAAGCAGGCTTTTTTGAACAAAATTATATTACTTGGAAGCTTTTGCTGATTTTAGTATTAGTTATTTATTATGATCTGCATTCATAATTATAGTTTTTGAATAGTGTTTTTTTCACTCATGTGGTCATCTTAAACTTTATGGATATATTCAGATCAAGATCTTAATAACTTGATATGCTTCTCACTCAAACCCTGTATTACAAGATTTCGAAGGTCATTGTGTTTCCATAACCATACAGCTACTGAGTCACATTATACTCTTATGGAATATGGAACTTAGCCAGGCATGGCCTGGTTGTTTACATGCTTGTGCTGTTTACCTGAGGATCTATGGTTCACATCCCCTTGCTACAGAAGTTTGTTTGCATTATGGTGGGCATGGGTGCACTTTTTATGAGAGTGATAGTATCTCACCCAGTTAGAGAACAGTAGTTCACAAGTTGATGGTTGGTATTGTTAACTAGAGAACTTATCTCTAGGCTATCAGATCAAAATTAGGGACAGCTAAGTGATTTCTCTAATTATGCAATAGGAACATAAGGCCTTTTTGTGAACTCTGCCTTAGATACAATTAATTTTATGGCTTTATGTTATGTTTTATGACAGACTGTCTGCATTGGGAACTTTTTCTTGAGTGCACCACTGGTGGTACATGACATCCTGTCTTTACCCATTTAAGCTTTGGTTGTCATGTTCCACTGGTGGTGCACCCTATGATTTAAGTAATAATAATCGAATGATCATATTATCTAATATTTTTCTTTTTTTTTAGCCTAATCTTGCCATTTTTTTAGAATAATTATGAATATTTCATAATTTTATGGGAGTAAAAAAGGAACATCAGATAAAATAATCCCTGATGTAGATGATAATAGTTCTATCCATATTATATTACAGTCTTCATAACTGTTTTCTTTTTTATGAAAGATGTCTCAATTAAGTGTTTTTTTTTGCTCCATTTACACATAATGATAAATTTAATGCCAATATCTAGATGTAATTTTAAAATAAAAAGTGATTTAATCATGTAAGTTTGTTTTGTTCCAGTTGTCCTTTCAACATGGCATTCGTGCTCCACCAGTGGTACATGATGGAAGGCTTTATTATAGCCATCTGTATAAAATAAATGCTTCATATAGGACTTTAAAAATATGAGGTACAGTTATATCTCATGGGTGCTGTATACCACTGGTGGCTCACGTCGTCCAACAGAAAACATGCGTATGTACCACCGGTGGTGCACTATGTCATGAATGTGTTAACAAAATATTTATAAACCTCTATCCAAATTACTGATCTGATTCATTAAAGTACTGATTTTTTGATGCAATATTTGAGCATAAAACTATAAAGCGAGAATCTATTCCAGTAAGTATAAATTTAATATAACTATAAATGCATAAAAATGCTAATGTGAATAATGTTAAGGGCCACAAAAAATCAGAAAGAATTATATTATTGTTCAACAGTGAATTTATTAACATACGAAAATCCCTATTGACCTTAGTGGCAAGTTATAAAATGTAATAAAATTGCCATTCATAGTAATTTGGTATTAGAGCTTTTGAACAATACACTTTTATGGCCATTGCTTTACCTCTTGCAAATAAATTTTCATTTGAAAATTAGTCCCTTTCTATATTTGATTCAAGATTTTTGGTGAATGTCCATTGTCTTTTGCTAAGTGACTTACCTACTAGAAGAACTAGAAGACTTGTTTTCAGTGCTAAATTAGTTAGTGTACACTGGAAGAATGTCTGAAAGTCATATTTACCCTAGTCTCAGCTGTAAGTGTGTCATTGAAAAATGTATTGTTTGCATCAATGTTGTGGATGCAGTAACAATGGTGGTTCCTGTTGAAGTTCAAGCAATCAGAAGGAGTTTGGCCAAAAATGTTAAAATAACATCAAAGAAAGACAAGAAATTGCAAAGTGGAAGGAATAGAAAGAACCTCATTTTTCTTTCATTGTCTTAGACTGGGTAGTGATTGATAGAGTTGGATAGAATTAATCAAACCTCAACCACCAATTGTCAAAACAAGTTGTTCAATAACATTTATTGGGGTTTCTACTAAATACACAGAGGTTTCTAGATGTCATGAAGATGTTAAAATCATTCTTACACTGCAAAAGTAGCCTTACTTTGGGAAAAATTTTCATCACCATCAAAACAACATTTTGAGATTTTGTTTTTAGAAGTAAGAGAATAAACCCTCAACTTATGCAAAGTTTTATGTGAGAAATCTAGCAAATTTCCTCTTGTCCAAAGTTACCACCAAAACATGACGATTTCTATATGATTGCCTCATGATTTAAGGGTTAAATACTACAACAATTATTGAACACAAGCTCTATGTTTGAAAATGAAAAGTACTTATGTAATATATCTCAGATCAATAATGGTTTAAATTTTGCAATTTCATTATTTTCATAAGTTTGTCCAGTGAACACAAAAAAAAAGGATTGCTCACTGACAACTTTAAATTATTTATTGAAAACAGAGTAGCTTCTTCTTGTTCTTTAAAACCAGATCACCACTTAATTGAATAATTTCCAAGATTTAAAACTATCACAATAAATGGTGTAAAACTCAATTTTCCATTGCTGTAAATTAATTTTTATGAATAGATTTTGTAAAATGAACTAGCAAGTAACAGTTAATTTTTTTATTATACATACAAATCACTAAAAGTAACAAGTATAATTGAAGAATTAGTTTCATTAATCTTAATAATCTGGATTATTAGAAATTTGTTTCACATGTAATTGGTTTTTAATCTCAGATGTAGTGTAAAGAAAGTAAATTCTGTTTTGTATTCATATTGAGTTAACATGTATTCATGTTCATAGCAGCTGTGTACATGAAGGTTTTGATTTTTATTGGAATTAGGACAACCAACGGGACTTAGAAAGTGCCACAGAAAAACTTTCAGAGTACTTAGAACGTGATATTACTCAAGACAATTTATTAGACATTAAACAGAAAGTTCAAGATAAATACAGGTAGGGGTATAATTGTGCATGTAATAATGTTCTGTTAGTTTGTAATGCATAATAACTGTATCTTGTATTTTTGTGTTTTGAGAGTAATTCTTCAATTTAAGTGTTAGGTTTTATACAACAAAGAATAATGTTTTAACATAAATCAAAATCTGTTTTAAAATATGTAGTATTGTTGGTATTTTTCAATAATTCTTCTCAGGGTAATTTGCTGGTATAGCTTGAAGAATATTTTGTGGTTTTAAATGTTTATCAATCAGATTATATTTAGTTTTCTGTGAGGTGAAAATGAAAAGAACCATAAAATTATATAACTAACAAAAATGGATAAACGGCTTGAGAAGAAATGAAAGTTAAAATAGGACTTGCATAGGGTGACTAGATTTCTAAACCAAAAAACCAGGACAGCCCAATCCTTGCTTCTAATTTCAAAATTGTCCTTGTGTTTTTCTTGACAGTGTGCTCTGTAATGTGTGATCTGCCACCATATGCTATTGAAAAAACAGCTTTTACAAATAATGCACTCAGTTTTGTTATCCAACTCACTTGCCTTTAAAAAAGGGAAGTCTACTTTCAAAGTATCTGGAAAAAACATGCTTTCTTTTTTGGCATAATGACACTATGATAGGTTAAATATTTTCAGTAATAAACATATCTTAGAGAATAACCCCTGATGGCTAATCATCCACCATACATTCATCAAGTGTTATAGGTCTACTACAGTACTAATAACTAAAAAACCTGCACAGAACTGGGTTTCTCACCACACACAAATAGAACTTTTGAAAAGGTTTTGTGGCAGGAGAGTATGTGTTACAACAGTGAGTAAGTCAAGTAGGCCTGTTACTTTCTGATTCAATGTGACTGACAGTTTGATGTCATTATCATAAAACTGGGATATTTTGTGTATTCCAAGAAAAGTTTTCAGGACACTGGAACAAACTATCAAGAAACGGGACTGTCCTGGAAAAACTGGGGCTTCTGGTCACCCATACTTACATAAAATTTGTGTAAAAGTATTACTTCTAGCTATAAGTGACTCTTGCTTGTGTTTCTTCATGTAGGTATTGTGAAATGAGAAGGAAAGTACTTCTAGGACATGTTCATGAAGGTTACGAAAAAGACTGGTGGGAATACACAGAATGAAAGTTAAATGTGATACAGAGGAAGGAATAAAACCGATATGGTTGTGTTGTGAAGTTTAAGGAAGTCACATATTCATTCCCTTGCAGTTGTCTTCATGACAGTTGCTTTTGCTGAATGAATGAACCAACACCAACCACTTAAGCTGTAGACCTATCTAAAAGTTACAGCTAAGATATCAAGCCCAGGGTTTTATACATATTCCTATTTAATAGTAATTGGCATTTAAATAGAAATTAATGAAGAAGATTATGTTAGACGTATGATTAGTCTTGAAAAACCACACAAAGTAAACCTTTGATGCAGATGAAACCTGGACTTTTTAATTATATAGTAAAACAAATGTTTCCCAAATTAGTATAAAAGGAAGTAACAAGTTTTAATGTTGTAGTGTTCATGAGTTTTATGACATAACTAAGAAATCTTGTCAGATTTTTGCTATTTTTAAAGTGCTCATACCTGATCAAGTGCATTGATTTTCTCATTTCTCTGTGCAATCATTAAAACAATTCTGCTCATTTTAGTACTTCCACTTCAACCAAATATTTTACTCTATACATTTATGTTCTACATTGAAGTTTGGCAGCTGTTAGATCTTGTTGTTTCTCTCACTTATTTATAAACTTTGATTTGTTGTTGAAAGAACAAATCATTAGTGAATTCTTATTTCACAAGCTAGTACACAATGTAGAATTGTGTTTGATATCAAAGCTTTTCCATTTTCAGAATGGTTATCTCACACATTGCCATTTGTCAGAGGTAAAAATTTGATGTGTCAAGCTTTGCACTAAGTTTTCTGGAAAAGTCTTATTATTTCACAGCACGATTTGTAGATTATACAGAAACTAAATTTGCTTACATAAGAAGCATGACAGTTACTATTGCATAGTTTTTTGTGACAAAATATTCAATGAGCTAAAATTGAGGCAAACTGACATCACTTAACTAAGTGTCAATTTTTTATTAATTTGTTCAATGTACATTTCAATCAGCTGGGTAATATAACCTTTTGGCACATGTAGCAAACAAAAATCATTCTTAAATGGTTAAAATTGTAAAGTTCATAAATAAAATTATTAGTTACAAGCCTGTGTTGTGGTTTATGTCATATATATACACACACACACACACACACACACACACACACACACACACACACACACACACACACACACACACTATATTAACTTAATTAAGTAAGTAGTAACTAAATAAATTCGTTACTTACTAGTTATTAATAACTAAACTAAATTACTTAACTTAGTTAGGTTATAGTTAGTAGTAA